GTGGCGGCGGCCGGGCGAACAAGCGCGGGGGTGAAGCGCTTATCGCCGATATGGACGACGAAGCTGGCATTGCTGGCGCACGACAGACCCTTACTGATCCGGGTCGGCCGGGACCGCAGCGGCTTCGGAGCTGAAAGGCACGCTTTACGATGCGATCCTGACTGCGGCGGGCGCGCGCAATCTCGTCCGTGCACCAATGGTGCCCAGCTATCGTAAGCCCGATACTGAAGTGTTGGCTGCAGGTCAATCCTGCCCTGCTGGGCAGGGAACGACTTCATCCGCGGGGGCCTGAGCCGCGACGATGTAGTTCGACATCCGCTGGTGCGGCGTTACTGGAAAATCGCATCACCTGATCGCACAAGGCAATTCATCATCTGCGGCACGCGATGGTCGCCGATGCCGCGTGAAGCTTACGCCAAGGACTTGCGCGGTGCGGCGGGCGCTGCCAGCCCTGCCGTGCCGACTGGGGAAATGATCCCCGTAGCGCTGGCTGGTACTTGGACTTGTCGCGTAATCTCGCTGCTGGCCATCGCTTCGCTACTGGCGGGACGATCTGGCTGTCGCCCGATTGTGACATTGTACGCCCTGTCGATCCTACACCTGATCTTGCACAGATCGTCGTCACTCGCGTGCGGCTGCCGACTACTGCTCGCGCTGATGATCGGCGGCATCCTCGGCTCTGGCGGGTGCGGTCCTGCGGGGTTGTTGCGAAACCCCCTCGCCGAGCCCGGTTTGCTGGGCGTCGGCGCCGGTGCGTCGCTCGGTGCCGTCATTTCGCTCTACTATGGCTTCGCATCCACCTTCGCGCTGATGACGCTGCTGTTTGCGATGGTCGTGGCGGATTTGCGACGATCCTGGATCGCGTTGGCCTGTCACGCCGGGCGGCACTTTCGCTGATCCCCGCTGGGTCGCCGTATCTGCCGTCGCGGCCGCCGGTATCCAGCCTTCGCGCTCAACCTCGCGCCCAACCCCTTACCGCTGAAATCGTGACCGGTTGATGGGATCGCTGACCGACGCACCTGGGATCATTTTTGCTCGCCGGATGTTCGTTCTTTCCCGGTGCGGCACTTCTGCTCGCAATGATGCGCGACCTTGATGCACCTACTCTGGCGAGCGGCAGGCGGAAAGCGGGCATCAACGTGCGTCGCACCCGGTTGCTCGCACTTTTTGGTACTGTATTGGGGTCGGCGCAGCGACCGCCGTTACCGGTTCGATCGGTTTTGTCGGGCTCATCGCACCTCACCGGTACGCCCCCTTTGTAGGCCACCGGCCCGGCGCGACGCTGATCCCGGCTGCCCTCGTCGGCGCAGCGATCGTCTGGCCGCCGATATCGCCACCTGCCTGCTGCGCTGGACCCGACATCAAGCTCGGCGTCTGCATTTCGATGGTTGGCGCCTGTTCTTCCTGTGGTTGGTTTTGTATGTCCGAAAGACCGCCCCATGAGCGCGCTGGTCCTTGATCGCATCGCGGCATCGCGCAACCGTCGCGAGATTCCGTCGATGAGAGCATTTTGCTGCAGGCCGGTTGACTGGCGTGATCGGCCCCAACGGCGCCGGCAAATCGACACCTTCGACGTCGCGGGCGGGTTGCTTGCACCGACGGCAGGAACTGTCCTGCTGGGCGATACGCCGATCGCCACCCTGCCACGAGGCGCCTTGCTGCTCGACGCGCCTATTTGCCCCAAGCACCTCGTCGATTGGCCCATCAGCGTCGAACGGGTCGTCGTTTGGGTCTTATCAGCATTTACCCGCATTCGGCGACCTGCCGAAAGCGTGGCAACTAAAGATTGACACGGCACTTTCCCGCTTCGATCTGCTCGACTTGCGCGATCGTCCTGCAACGCAATTTTTGTCGGGCGGCAGGAACTTGCCTGCCGCGCTTGCCCGCGCCACCATCGGCGCGGAGGTGCCTATCGTCGATGAGCCAACGGCTGGCCTCGATCCCCGCCATGTCCTCGACGCCGGTCGCAGGTTTCTGTGCGCCGCCGATGCCGGATGTACGGTTATCGTCGCGTCCACGATCTCGATCTCGTCGCACAGATTATTGACGACATCGTAATGATGAAGGCTGGTGCGTTTTCGCACGGCACAGCGGCCGCATTTTGCTGCAAATGGACCGCTTAGTGACCAGGCCGACATCGACGTCAAGGTCCATCGACGGCGACTGCCGGATCATTCGATTTCTGGGGTCCAAACCCGATCAGCGTATTGAGGATGTAGTTTTCCAGATTCATTGAAGGATGGATCAGGAGGAGAGGCATGGCGCTGTTGTGGTTGTTTGATGACGCGTGAGCGGCGATCGAGGTACGGCTCGCGCCGCTGCCTGATCGCGCATTGCCCGGAGCGCCGGGCTGCTCGACATGTTTTGGAACTCGGCTGGGACCGGATCATGACATCGGACGCCTGTGGCTGCGTACGGGCAGCGCTGAATGGAATTGCAGACAGCCGAATTGAACGCCGCAGCGTGAGGCCCGTGGAAAGGCGTCTGCATATGGAAAGAACAGATCTGTGAATCATTACGCAACGTTCGCTTCGCCAGCGTTCACGTTCGGCCGCTGAGAACCAAATCAAAAGCGGGTATGAATGTACACGAGATTTTCGTTTTGATTTTATCTGTAAATCAACGAGATCTGCGGAGAGGGAGGGGATCTGAACCTCGGTACCGCCAAGCCGGCACGCCGTATTTCGAGGCAGCATTTGACCACTTCCGCCACCTCTCCGCGAGGACGATCCAAGGGCTCGACCTCGGGGCTGATCGATTGGAGGCGCGCCCAGATCAGCTTTTGGGGCAAATGCAAGCGCTTAAACCCCAGTGGCGCGACAAACGCATTAAATCATGATCCATGGGACCCGATCGATGCCGCCCTCACCTCGCGCTTTCTGACGGAAGCGCCCATCGTCGCGAGCGCGCGGTTCGCGATCGGCGATGTCGTGCGGCATCGCATGTTCGATATTCGCGGCGTGATTCGACGCGTCGACCCTGTCTTCGCCAATAGCGACGAATGGTATGACGCGATTCCCGAATGATCTGCCCTGCCAAGGATCGGGCCTTCAACATCTGCTCGCCGAAAACGCCGACCGAGCTATGTCGCCTATGTCAGCTAGCAAAATCTGCTGCCCGACGACAGCGATGAGCCGGTCGACCATCCTGCGCTGGCCGGGCTCTTTACGGGCTATGAGGGATGACGGTCACCTGTTGCGGCGCGAACATCGGCATTGATGGTTCGACAGGCCGCATTTCCGTCCCGCCATGCAATCCTTGGTTGACAATCCACCGACCTTTGTCAGCTGACCTTTCTTTTTCCTGACGGGTCTTCCCTGAGCGGGAGCCATGCACGGGAAGTGATAACAGCCATGCCCGTAGTCGCGCACGGGCGGCAAGCAGTATCGCGTCGCCGCCGGAGATAAGATCGTCGTCGAGAAGATCGAGGGCGAGGCTGGGCGTCGGTGACGCTGGGTGACGTTCTGCTGGCGGGCGAAGGCTGAGCTGAAGGCCGTCGACGGCATCACGGTCGCCGCGGAAATGGCAGCTCAGGCGAAGGCCGATAGTCATCGTCTTCAAGCAGCGTCGCCGTCATAACTATCGCCGTCGCAACGGCCACCGTCAGCAGCACACGACCGAAGATCGTGTCGGTCGGCGCCGAACCTCAGCCGCGCCACCCAACGAAATCCGTGAGGAAGCCCGCAACGGTACATACAGAAAGCAGGCGGTTCGTCGCGCAACGGTCGATTCTGGCCGGCCGTCGCCTTGGTGTGAAGAAGTTCGGCGGCCGAAGCCGTGGCCGGCAACATCCTCGTGCGTCAGCGCGGGACCAAGTTCTATCCGGGTCGCAACGTGGGCATGGGCAAGGACCATACCCTGTTTGCGCTCGTCGATGGTCGCGTCTCGTTCCACGAGGGCAAGCTTGGCCGTAAATTCTGTTCGGTCGAACTGGCCGCAGCGGCCGAATAATCGGGCAACCGCGCCGGGTTGCCACGCAGATGACCGGGTTCGCGCAGGGAACCAGCAAAAAGGGAGACGGGTCACCCGGCTCCCCTTTTTTCGTGCTCCTCCACCGCCCTCGGGCCATGTCGCCGTCCCGTCATCCAGACGTGGCAGGGGCAGGCCTGACGCGACGAGGAGTTGTCGAGTGATGTTCGCGCGACCGAAAGATTGTTGTTGCGGCCAGCACGCCGGAAGATGCCACCGCCACAGCCCGGGCCATCGGCCATGAGTCGATCGCCCGCATGGCGGCACGGGTCCCCACCCCTATACCCCGACGATGCCAGAATTGGCTGGCACAGCCGTGCGGCGCGACGAACCGCGTTTCGCGATCACCGCGCTCGATCGTGGTGGCGCGCCCGAATTGATCGGCGGCATCGCGATCATCGCGGGCGATACGGGCCGTGAGCTCGGCTATTGGCTGACCCCTCGGCCCGGGCGGGCTATGCCACCGAGGCCGGGCGCGCGGTCGTCGCCATGGCGCGCCACGCCCTGCCGATCTGGCGGCTGGGTGCATGGCATTTCGCCGACAATCCTGCCTCGGGTCGTGTGCTGACCAAGCTAGGGTTTCCGCCCGACGGGCGAGCGGATGGCCGGGGCCTCGATCGGACGCGGCGGCAGCGCGCCCAGCATCCATTATGCGATCGATCTGGAAGACCATCGAAGCGGGGTCGATGCGCTGGCAGCATGATCCATGCAGGCCTCGGGGCGGGCATTCACCGCATTCCGCCCCGAAGATCGGCGCGTCTCGCGGGTTCGGCGCACCGTTCTATCGATCGAGACTTTGCCAGATCGTGACGAACAAAACGCGTCGCGACTCGGGGCGTGATCCGACGCCCGTCTTCACGCCGCCCTGTCGTATACGGCAATGCGCGACCCAATTCCGCTTTAGCCATCGCTACGCTCTGAGATAATTTTTACTATTAAAAAAGCTGAATTGGCACCGTTACGCCGACCGCTGCTTCAAGCTATAAACATTTGTTAACAAACTGCTGTCTGATTGCCCGTGGGAGGCGGTTTTACCGCCATTGGGAAAAGCGATGAACGAATTCTCGGAGAGCGAAAACGCAGCATAGCGACGCGCATTCCATGAGATCGTTGTGTTGGGAAAGATATTCCGTGCCCGACCGGTGTGTGGCGTGGCGGCGGTCGAGACGGCGCTGGTCGCGCCGGTGCTGCTGTCGGTCTTGTTGGGTATCGTGAGTTTCGGCGACTATCTCATGACCGCGCATCTCGTCCAGCAATCGGCGAACAGCGCCGCACGGGGCGGCGCTGGCGGGCATCGATGCCGCTGAACGCCGGAGGATCGCGATCACCACAGCCTGCCAAATGCTTTGATCTGACTGGCGTCCTTCACGCCAACCGCGGCCAGATCGATACCACTGAGCGACAACATCCTCACCGTGTCGGTCCGCTATGACGCATCGAGCGATCCGTTGCTCAATCTGCCTTTCGTCCCCGCTTTACGTCGACGCCCAGCGCGAGCGGCAGCGATGCTTGGGGCCTGTCATGATCCGCAGATTTTGACCAAACTGACGGGCAGCGCGTCGGCATATTGATCGCCCTGTCCGGGTGTGATGATTACGGCGGCGCGGCCTCGGGCATCGATATTGAATGTTGACCTTTCTCAGCGCAAGCTGCAGGAACCGCCGACGAGGCCGCCTTTGGCGCTAGCGGCATCGAGCCCCCGAACGTCATCCCGTGCCATCGGGCAGGTGCGTTGACGCCAATGGCGTCGTTGATGCATCGAGCGACATGATTCTGGCCGCTGCGACGCGAACCCGACATCTTGCCCGAAGCTCGCTTCATTCCGGGCACGGACGGCGGCGCGATGCGCGTGGTCCTGCGGCGCCCCGTGCCGCTGATCTTTCGGCCGTATCCTGACCGGGAAAGCCACGCAGCAAGTGTCGGCCAGCGCGGTCGCTCAGCGGATGGATTATCGCGTCGCCTTTTTCGGTGGGCAGCGGGCAGCCCAGGCCGGTGGAGGCCTGCCGTGCGCGTTCTCAACGCCTTGGCCGGCACCAATTTGTCGCTGTCCCTGTTTGATTATCAGGCCTTGCCAGTGCCGAGGTAGAACTGTTGCAGATGATCCCGTTGCTCGGCACGCGCATCGGCCTGACGGGAGCGAGCTTCGATACCATATTGGCGGCAGACATCAGGCTTCCCGTATTGCTGAACGCGATGGCGGATACCACCACCCATCTGGCGCCGCTGCCGCGCTCCGGGTCGCAGCCTCACACGCCCTGAATTCGAAGGTGCCACTCAACCGGCTGATAGATCTGGGACCGCTGGAAAATGTCCAAGGCGCAGTCTCGCGAGGTGGTCAACGTCGGCGTTCACCAGATGCTGCGCGAGGTCTCCGGTGATTTAATGGCCAACGCTAATTTATATGGACTGGGCGAACGCTTTCCAGTTCGACCTCGACCAAGATCAGCGGTGATCGGCGATCGGTCAGCAAAGACGCCCCGCTGGCGGGAGACCCAAACGGATCGGCGACGGTTCAGATGTCACAGATGCGGATGCTGGTCGATGTTCAAATCGGCGTGCCCCGGATGGCGAACATTGAGCTGCCGGATTTATATGGAGGCCGCTTCCGCCCGGGGCACGCCGAAGCAGCATGAGTTGGGACGACGCCATCGGTGACGATCGAGTCCATCCCCTCCCCGGCAGCATCGTTATCGCGCAGATCGACAGAAGCGCTTGAGGACATGCGGCAATCGCTGATCATGGGTCCGGCCACGCTGCAAGGCAGGTTTGGCCTGCCAAGGTCACCGGCTGGACGTAAATCAACCTTTCGACCGATGCGGCCCGGCAACGGTCGCCTTCAGCGCGGCGGAAATCCGGAACGGCACAACCAAGACCATCACCGCCAATTGGCGGCAGCAAGGCTATGCCAGTTCATTGCTTCACCGAATGGACCTGTGCGAAGCGGGTGGTCGCGGCGTTGATCCCGCTGACTGCCTCAGGTCGGGGCGCGCTGATGCCCTTGTGGCACCGACGCTCGACATGCTGATGAGCACGATATCCGACCTGATGGGGAATGCATATCGGGCAGGCTGATCTGACGGTCGATGGCGCGCGATGCGGCGCGGCGTCGCTCGCCGCCTGATCCGGCAGGAGGAAAGGCCGGCTGGCCTTCGCGCCCTTTGCGCGGTAAGGGCGGCCATGCATTTCCTGACCAGCAAGATTCGTCCGCCCCGGCGCGGGCGGCCCCCGGCGCCGTTTCCGGCGCGAGAAGCATATCGAATATGGCGGCCCCGATGGCGGCAATGGCGGCAAGGGCGGCGACATCATCTTCGAGGCGGTCGCCGGCCTGAACACGCTGACGACTTCCGCTACACCCAGCATTTCCGAGCTGCGCGCCGCGGCGGGTCGGGCTCCAACCGCACGGGCGGCGGGGCGCGCGACGATCTGGTCATCAAGGTGCCGGTGGCACGCAACCTGTCCGAGATGGGCGAAGAGGTGCTGCTCGACTTCACGCAAGGTCGGCCAGCGCGGGTTCCTGCGCGGCGGTGACGGCGGGCGGCAATGCCAGCTACAAGACCTCGACCAACTGCGCACCGCGTCAGCACGGTGGCACCGGCTGGCCCAGCGAAGAGGTCCGGGTCAGCTGCGCCTGAAACCGCCATTGATGCAGGCCTTTGTCGGCCTGCCCAATGCCGCAAGTCGACCTTCATCAACGCGGTCACGAACGCGCAGGCCAAGGTCGGCGTCGCGCCTTCTACCACCACCCGGCTGCAGTTGGGCGTGGTGCGCCATCACAATCGCGAGTTCGTGGTCGCCGACATTCCCGGCCTGATCGAGGGGCGGCGGACGGGGCTGGATCGGCGACCGGTTCCCGGGCCATATCGAGCGGTGCCGCGTGCTCCCCCACCGTCGATGCCAACGATCCGATGTCGCCTGAAAGCTTATCGCATCGTGCGCGACGAGCTGAGGCTTATGGTGCTGGCCTGATCGACAAGCCGCACATCATCGCGCTCAACAAGATCGACACGCTCGACGACGAGCTGATCGAGGCGCTGTCGGCCGAACTGGCCGAGGCGAGCGGTGCTGACGGATCCCGCCACGGGTGCGGCGGGCACCGGCGTCGACTGGTGCTCGGACAAGCCGCTCGAGGCGATCGGGCCTGGCCGGATGCTGTCCCGGAGAATGACGAGAGGCGAGGACGAGATCACATGGTCGCTGCCTGATCGCAGCATGATCTTCTGCCACCTGCCAGCGGCTGATCGTCAGGTCGGCTCCGCGCTCCTCGTCACGCCTGAGGGCGAAGTCCGGCGCGACTGGCTGACCGGCCTTGTCGCCGACATCGCCATGCGGGTGCGGCAGGGGCAGTAGATCGCCATCGTCTCCTCGGGCGCGATCGCGCTGGGCGCGCGGCGGCTGGGGCTCCCCGGCGGCTGCGCCAGCCTGGAGGACGCGCCGCCGCCGCGACGGGGCAGATCGCGCTCAGCGAGCACTGGGCCGAATTGCTCCATGCCGAGAGACTGACCGCCGCGCAGATGCTGGTGACGACGCTCGACGATCTGGAGGATCGGCGGCGTTACCTCAATGCCGCCGCGACTGGGCCGGTTGCTTTGGGATTGGGCGTGGTGCCGGTCATCAACGAGAATGACAGCGTCGCCACCGGAAGAAATCCGCTTCGGCGACAATGACCGCCTCGCCGCGCGGGTGGGGCAAAGCCGCGGCGCGAACGGGGTGTTGCTGCTCTCCGACGTGGATGGGCTCTACGACCCAACCCCATACCAACCCGCAAGCGCGCCATATCGAACGGGTCGAGCGGACCGAGGCGGTCACCGGCATGGGCTGATGGCGGCTTGGCTTCAGGCAGGCGGGTCTGGGCGGTATGGTGTCCAGATCGCCGCCGCCCGTATCGCAGGAGCGCGGGCGCGCATCTCGCCATCGCGTCGGGCCGGATCAGAACTGTTGTCGATACCTGCACGCCACACCATTCGTCGCCGAGAAGAGCGCGCCTACCCGCGCGGCTTGGCTTGCGCAGGTGGCTTTGACTCGCACGTGGGCGATCCGAAGCCGATGGGCGCGGCCAACATTCGACCGAGGCGGTAGCCTCGCTGCCGGGGCGATCGCCGTCCACGGCCATTTCGCGCGCGGGTGACCTCGTCACCGTCGAGGGCCCCAACAAATTGTCGCACGCGGCCCTTTCAGCGGCGGCGATCGACCAGTTGACGCGCGCGATCGGCACGCGTCGGGATGAGCAGGCGGCAACCCCGGGCGTTCCCCCCGCTTGCGCTTCATCCACTGCAATCATCTTTACTATGACTGTCGCGGTGATGGGGGGCGACCGGCTTTGCCCAGTCGCGCGGTGGTGGACCGTTCCGCCGGTTCGGCCTGAGCTTGCGCGCGCTGACCGCTGGTTTCCAGCCGTCGCGCGCCGGGGATCACCCGATCGCGGGCGCGCCTTACGATAAACCTGACAGCCCGCGACGCTGGTCGAGGGGGCCGACGCGGTGCGTATATCGCGGGTGGGGAACGCGCCCGACCGCGCGGGCTTCGTCGCGGCACATCGACGGCACCCGCAAAGCATCGTCGAGGCGGCGAAGGCGGCGGCACGCGCTTGTCCATAACCGTTGTCGGCCCGCGAGCCCGCAAGGCTTCCACTCCATGGCTATTGGTCCAAGCGGCAGGCCGAGGCCATCGTGACGACAGCGGGCTCGATCGACCATCGTCCGGCCGAGCGGCATCTATGGCCCCGGCGACATGGAGATGCGCGACATGTTCCGCGCCGCCAAAATGAGAATTGCAATTGATGCGCCACCGTGCAAGGTGTCGCTGGTCGCGGTCGAGGATTTCGCGCGGCTGCTGACCACGCTGAGGACGACTGACGGCCCGCGTGCCGTACTGAGGTGGATGACGGCGCTGACCCATGCCGAACTTCCGCCAACGCCATCGGCGCAGCGGTCGGACAGCGGCGATGACGCTCCACCTGCCCAAGGGTCTGTTGCAACCGGTGCGAAGATCGACGGGCATTGCGTGGCAACGGTGCTAAGCTGACTCCCCTGACCGGGTCGGTTATCTCTGCCACCCGACTGGACCGCCGACCCTGCCAAACGCCCTGACCCCGCGCTTATGGGAGCCGGCAATCGCCCTGTCCAAGGGCTGGCGGACGGCACGGTGGTATCGTGTTAATGGCTTGCGGTAGCAGCGCGCCATCACGCGCGGTCGAAAAAGCTGCCGCACGGGTGCCACTGGCCCCCCGAAAGGATCATCGCGAGCGACCGCTGCTTTATTTCGACATCGTCGCGGCTCAGATCGCGCCCTTCAACAAAAAAGGGCGTGGAACTGACTGGAGGCGACGACCTCTGTATGATCTGGAGGGATAGCTTGACCGTGATGGATTTCGTTAATGCCGCGATCGAGACGAGTTCGACATCATCATCACGATGAACATGCAGGCGAGATCGGAGAATGTGGCCAGCTGGTCAAGACGCGGTCGAAAAGCTCAAGCAAGCCTGATCGCCCTTACACGGACACCGATATTACGACCGGAAGCCGCCGCTCAGCCCCACGCCTCCCCGCCGGACGCGCCCCATCGCGCCGAACGCGACCTGCTCTCCGGGTTCGACGGCCTGATCGCCGATGGGCAGGAAGCTGCTCGACCTGGCGCTACTCGATCCTCGCGATCGTGATGGAATAAACAGGTGAAGTCGCCGACTTATACCGTGATCCGCAGGCGACACGATCCTGCTCGGCACGTACAACTATATGGGGTATGACCTTCGATCCGACGCGGATCGCAGCGGGCAAGGGAAGCGTTGAGAAGTTCGTCGGGCACCATGGCAGCCGGATGCTCAACGGCACCTTCCACGACCATATGGAAGTCGAACAGGCTGCGCGATTTCTACGGCAATGACCGGCGCGACTGCTCGGGACCGGTTACATGCGGGCCAATCTCGGCATCATCTCAACGCGCTGGCGGCGGGAGCGTGAGTATGTCATCCTCGACGCCGACAGCCATGCGTCGACTCCATGACGGCTGCCAGCAGGGCGCAATGCCGAGATCGTCCGCTCTTTCACAATTCGGTCGAGGATCTCGACAGCGGCGGGCCGTCCGCCCAAGCGGAACTCGCCAAGCTGGTCAGCGTTGAGGGCGTCTATCGGATGCTTCGGGCGACATCGCCCGCTGGAAGGAGATGGTCGTACGCCAAGAAGCATGGCGCAATGGTCTTGGTCGACGAAGGCATTCG